GCTCTTGGCTGTAGAGGGGCTAACTGAGCTCCTTGCTTCTCCATTTAGCTCAGCCTCTCTCTCCTTCTTGATTTTAATACCTCTTTATCATATTCCCCGGACACTCTCTGGACTCAAACCATTCGACTACTGCAGAAAGTTCAGTCACAAAATCAGGCACAATTTTCTGAGCCATTGACCTGGACCAAGCTCTCCCTAGCCCATGCTGCTGACTAGCTTTTCCAAAAGAGACTGTGATGATTATTGCTATAGCAGCAAGTCTACTAGTGAAGTAGAAAATAAATAGACTTTATCAGCGAGGTAAATGATGGAGAAAACACCATTCCCTTAGGTGGGGAGAGAAACAGCATTAGCAACAGCGGAAGGACCAGATCATATTGGAGCAAGATAGCAGGGATGGCAGTTAGGTGGTTAGCCCATCTCTTGCCCCAGCTGGGCAGATCTTTTTAGCACTGGTTTTGCTACCATTTCCTTCTCTTCAAGGAAGTAAATTTTTACATAGATGTGGGAGCAGACCAGACAAAGAGTTACAAATATGCTACCCACTGCAGGAGGATGCGTAGGAAAGATTTGAGAACATGGTGCCATTCATTGCTCTCCTAGACATTTTCTGACCTGACTGTCCCAGTGTCACCAGTTAGGAAGCTCAGTAGGACCAAGCCATTTCTCTTTCTTGCACAACCAAGGAACTGCACCACATCTGAGCAGCCTGCATGAGGAACACCTGAATTGCCACAGCAGTCCGGAGAGGGCTGGGGCAAGCAGCATGTAGATAGACAGGGTAAGAAAGGCCTCCAGTCCCGTCAGAACTATAGCAAGAGCAGCCCAAAAAACAACCACCAGGGACAAGCACATCAAGCTCCAGTATGATTTATGAAAACTGACTGCTTTTATTCACCTGTTTGCCACCCTAAAAGAGCAAATAACTCCAGAAACCCCCACACTGGCGCGCATCTCCCCACATCTTTCCCCCAGCCCATCTGCCCCCCACAGAGGGTAGGCCCCACAGTCCACACACAAGACTCACCTCATGGAACAAGCAGGGACACCAGCAGCAAGAGGAGCTCTGTTTCCAGCCCAAGCAAAGCACACAGTGCCAGAGCCTGAGCTGGGTTGTGCTAACAAGAGACACAGCCCTCCTCCATCCTACCTAACGAGCCCCTTTAATAGATAAGAGGGCCAATGAGTTTTGGCAGGTGAGGCCACAGGGCTGCAAATCAGGTGGGTTTGGAGGCTCTCCAGCCATGTCTTGCTGGGGGTCACCAGCTCCCTGGGCTTTCCTGATTGTAGTTTGCTGTCTGCTTTGCACAGGGACAGCAGCAGAAGCAGATGTCTGTGTCATCACCCCCCGCTTCCCCATTGCCACCAGCCTGGAGCTGCTGCAGCCCTTGCAGTTTGAAACAAATCTCGTTGCTTTTGAAAAGGAAGGTGAGCACAGGCAAAAGTGAATCCAGCCAAATTCCTCACCCTGTGGTCTCTCCTCACCCAGGCCAGCCAAAAAGAGCATGTTTGCAAGACCTTCTCCCTTTCTAGGGGACACCAAGAGAGTTGGAGAACCCTAGCAGGTTTTCATTTGTGGAGCAATAAGTAGGGTTTACAGAGAGGCTTAAGTAGCTGCCATAAGGATGAGAATTATTTGACCTTTTTTACGGTGAGAGCTGCTATCCACATACTGCAATAGCAACTACAGCATGGAGCTGCCTTCCCTTTGGGGCCTCCGGGTGCTGAGGTGCTTCCAGGTACATGGGGCCCTGGCATCACCCACGGCATAGCCCACATCTCCACCCCACCTTGCTGAGCAGCCTGAGGGCTGCACGGTCCAGAGGACATGAGTCTGGCCCAGGCTGTCCCCACTTGCTGTGCCACTGCCTGTCCCTATGGGCACTGCCTGCCCTGTTGGCCAGTTGGCAGCCAGAAGGCCCCTCTCCCGAGAGGCCGAAGGCCAACTATAACTGCAGGCAAGGGAGGGAGGCCAGACCACCGTGCTGTATTCCTTGTTCTGCTGAAAGGGCAAAACCTGCATGTTGCTCAGCGGTGCAGGATCCAGGCTGTGACCTGGCCATACATCTTATTTCTCCATCAGTACAAACGAGGACCTGGGCAGGGGGTCGTTGGTAGCAAGCTCCATGAAGAAACCCTGCACTGTTGGGATCCAGAAGAACTTCAGGGTGTAAGGGCTGACTTCAACGTGAGCATGCAATTCCCCTTCACGGTACAGAGAGTTTTGCACACACCAAGATGGCAGGAAACTCTATGGCTTGTGTACATGGCTTTTGATTCTCTTTCAGATCCATTTTCAATGGAGATGTTTATCACCATCATGATCCCCTGAGTAAACTCAAGCCCTGAGAACATGGGAGCATCTGGGAATGTCTGCCAGAAAGAAAGATATTAGAACAAAATGAGTTTCTTTCTAATTTCTGTTCTGTTTTCCTCTCTGCATTCTGTAGAACTGACACATTCTTGATATGTATAAAGCCTGACAGGAAGAACTTATGCAAGTAGAACATGCCCAATCAAGACCATGTAAGCACCAGCCCTCATCCTTTCTCATGCTCAGGCTCCAAAAAATGCCTGCTCCAATATTTTTATATAGCCAGACTCAAATACACGTGCTGCTGCATAGTTGCTCCTACGTGACCAATAACTGAGACTCCTTGGCCAGTAAAATATTAGTCCAGTGGAGTAAGAAACTTCAGCCCTTCCACCTCCAGAAGAACTTATTCATGGTTGGTCCTAAGTAACAGACTGAGTCCATAGCCAAGAAAACCAAACCAGACATGACACCTAACTTTTCATACTTTTTATATAAAATAGACATTTACATACATTTTCTTTTGCAGAGACTTCAAGCATAACTCCTTTATGTGAAATCTAGCCATAAATCCCACAGTGAAAAAAGCAAAGACTGCAAATTCCTGTACCACTGACATACATCCAGCTGCTGCTAAGTGTGAATTTATTTTTTAAAGATTTCTAATCCATGGGCTGTTTTCTTGTTTGGTTTTTGTTGTTTTGTTTTGTTTTTAAAGATATGCACAATTGATTTAAAAAAAATTCGATACAGAAATAAGAACCATATGAGCAACAGGCAATGCAAACAACTCCTGCATGAGAGGCACACGCAGCGTGACATCCACTCCAGGCAAAAATTTCTACAGTAATACAGTTGTAGAAGCCATAACTTTTACAGAGGATACCACCGGGGGTATTTTCCAGAAGAAAAAAATTTCAGCAAGTCAGTACAAACATGGCAATGAACTTTTGCACAAAGTTACTGAGATTACCTGAAGCAGCTTTGCCACATTGAAACACTAGTGAACGCCAAGCGCTTTTTTTTTTTCTCTTTTCTTTTTTTTTTTGTGCTGCTGGGTTTACATGTACATGAAAGCAAAATGGTGCATTTTGAAACTGCTGCAAGAGGCTGAAGGTTGAAGAAAAAAAAAAGCCCTCCAAGGGCTAATTTTTTCCAAAGATTGTGCATAATTGCATATATGAAAGATAGAAATTGAGCACTCGGTCAACTTAATCACATACAGATTGAGGAGACTTAAGCATATACCAACTGTTTCACCGAGCTGGAGGACAAGTGGGGCAAAAGATCATACAGCTATCTTCTAAATTGCCTAATTATTAAAATTAGAATGACAATTTTCTTCTTTCACCAAATATTGTAAACCATATCTGGCCTGGTTTCTGTAACTGCTGAGAAGCTTTCATAATTTTTATATAATTTTTGAGGTGTCCAGCCTTCCCTGCAAGTTAGGGTCTTTATTTTGGACTTTTTTGACTTAGACTTCTTTCAGCCATGTGTCTGCATGTACAACCCCCTGCCCCGTCCTCGTCAGGATCTCTGGAATGAAGGCCATTTGCACTGCTGCATTCACTTACTGTTTGGCCAAAACAAGTTGCCTGCACATTTGTAGGAAAATCTAGTCCAAGGAGTCTCTGGGAGAGAGAAAAAATGCCCCCCCTGCTGCATCATTTATCCCGAGGGATGGAAAAGGAATGGAAGCGAAGAATGCTTGACTTTAAATAAGCAATAAAATAAAACCCATCAGCTGAAAATATTATTCATGGAGAAAGGAAAAAGTAACACAATGATTATGTTTTTCATTTAGGATTAAAACGCACAGTGAATACATGAGAGTCCTGTCTAACCAGCTTTCCATTAATTCTCCACTTTAATAATGGCAAGCACTGAGGTTTAGCCAAAGCAACGCGCAGAGCGAGCAAACTCTCCCCGACCAGGTAGAACTCCAGCTACTTATTAATTTGTAATCTCTGCTAACCATGCTGAGCACTGGAGTTGGCAGAAAACAATTTATTTATAACTCATTATTTTAGAAGCTGTGCAATGCTAGAGGAAGAGGACATTTCCTATGATTAATTAGGATAATATCCAGTTTATCACAAGGTAAGTCGCTCCATTTATCTTCCACAAGAGCATTTCATTTTGGTGGAGGTAACCCATTTCATATCATAGTCCATTCTTCTTTGCCTGCAATAAACCTTTCACAAGATTAATGTCCTGAACAAACACAGCATTTCGGCACAGACACCAATGAGACAGAGAGTCAGCTCAAAACTTCACAAGGGTTTAACTGCTTTGGTAGCTCAGGGTCTGAATCATCCTCCAAATACCCTGCCGGTTGGCAGACCATCATCCTGCATAGATGGGGTATAAAGTGCTGGTTCAGTGCCCTCCTCTCCCCCTAACTACCTTCAACCCAGCTCCAAAATGTGGAAAACTGGCTTTTTGGCATATAAACGTCATCCAGTTCAGCTGGGATTAAACTCCATGGATACGTTACCTGGAGAAGGACTCTTTGCCAGGAAGGGTAATGATAGGACAAGGGGAAACGGTTTTAAATTGGAAGAAAAAAGATTCAGATTAGATCTCAGGAAGAAATTTTTTACTGTGAGGGTGGTGAGACACTGGAACAGGTTGCCCAGGGAAGCTGTGGATGCCCCATCCCTGGAAGTGTTCAAGACCAGGCTGGATGGGGCCTTGAGCAACCTGCTCTAGTGGGAGGTGTCCCTGCCCATGGCAGGGGGGTTGGAACTCAGATGATCCTTGAGGTTCCTTCCAACCCAAACCATTCTATGATTCTATGATTCTAATTCAGGTGAGTGGATGAACATACACCATGCCTTCCGACCAAACCGCCTCCCTCACTAGGAGGATGATCCCATCTTCTGCAAGTAAGGCAGCGTTGCAAAAAGGGCAATCCTTCTCCAGGATCTAGGAGCAGGGGCTGTATTATATATACTATACCCAAAGCTGTATTATACTTTTACACGTGCACCCATTTTAGGAGGTCAAGGTGACTTTGATGAGGTTCTAGGACAAGAACAAGACAATCATTTCTACCAGGTCTCTCAGGAAAGACAAACTAAGCTTTAAGCCGAAGTCAAAAACACAAAACCAAGTCATCCCCCTCACGAAGCATCGCTATAAAAAATACAACTTCTTTTATATCTGAAAAAATATGTTTCATTGGCCACAATTTAAAGCCGCACTGCTGTGGGGCTCGTAGAATATATTGTATTTATTTAATATATCTTTACGAGACGAAGTTTATAGCTGATACACATTTTTAAATGAGACATATCTCCCCCAACCCCTATTCCCACCCTTCAGCTAGCTCTTGGGAGCCCTCTGCAGATGTTTGCTATGCCAGGGGCTTTGCATGGCACTGCTGTTGGGGGTCTGTACCAAATACCACTCTGCCAGCCCCCAAACTCATTACCACAGTGGTACTGCAGGCAGCCAGCCAGCCTGGGCACACGGGGCTTTGGTGAAGGTGCCCCAAAGACAGGGTCCCCTTGAGGAGAGGCAGAGAGCTTTATGGTCCAGGTACCTCTGAATACCCCGGTAATGAACCATCTACAGTGCTGCAATGCACGGTGGGGAACCTACTGCTCTCAGAAGCCCTTTAAGCTTTGGTTTCCCCATCCCAGGGAATTCTGCTGGTGCAAACCCACCTCCTTCCAGCTATCCTGGCAGCACCAGGGCTGTGCAAAGCTGCTCCACGCATGGCATCCAGTAGAGCTCTGGCACTGAGGTCTGGCAGAAACATCGGGTCAGTGAATCTGTGGTCATAAAAGCTATGCAACAAGACAAGGGTTGCTGACCCAGCCCCAGGACCTCAAACCCATCCTTGGCCCCAAAAAGGAAAGTAGGCTGCTTGGACTGGGGGGAAAAAGGGAAAATTCACCAGTGAAAGACTTGCTTAGTCTTGGTCCTCTCTGCTTCCTTGGGATTAATGAAGCTGGTTCAAAGGGAGAGAACCCAGAAATATGTGTTACCACCTTCTCCCTCCAATAGTCTCTCCCTCCCACCAACCTTAAGAGCCAGCATCTACCCAGCTGTAGGCACTTGGCCAGTGGGGACCAGTACCTCCCAAGTCCAGTCTTGTCTTGGTGGGTGCACAGCCATAGCTCCAGTGGGTCCAGAAGCCCTGACAGGGCAGACACTTGCACCAGCCTGGCCCCACTCTGAGCTCTACATGCAGTTGGAGTCATGTTAACAATTTGTCAGTAATTTGACCACCAGTAGTGGCTGGACACTGAGCTTTTTAAATAAAGCCAGTGGAGCCACTCTGCACCATCACTGCCCCATCACACTGAGTGAATGTGGAGCTTGCCAAGGTGCCAGGGCCAACACAGAACTAAGCCTGGGTGCCATGTGGGTCACCATCACACAGGCCTTTCCTGATGGATGTGTATCAAGGCATCCCATACCTCATCAGAACTGTCCTCTACTAATAATGCCAAACCTTGGGCTGCTCTTCTGCAGGGACTGGCCACAACCAAGCTCAAATATCACAACTCTTACGGCGGTCTCCTGCTGCAAGAGAAACAAACCAATGACATACCCTGATGTCCAAACCCAAAGGCAGCAGCACCAAGCACGATCCCACCAGTGCTCTCTGTGAGCTGGTACAAACCCTGGTGGAAGCAGCAGAAGTGCTGTTACTGCAGGAGCAGTTTGGTCCAATGTGCTCTGCAGCCATTTGAGTCAGAAACATCCTCAGGGGGAGTTACTCAAGCATGCCTCAGTGGTCCTTCAGACCATACAAGTCACAGTGCCCAGCCATGTGGCCAGCTGTGAAGAATACTGCCCAATTTGTATAAAACAGAGAAAATATATTAATTATTTGATTATTATAAGTTAAATAAATAAAGCTCAAAAATAAAAGCCCCAATTCTGAAGAGAATTTTTTTTTCCCACTTCGGTATTTAAAAATATAGATTTATTACTGATCAGCTATAAGTCATTTTCTGTATCTTTTGGGGGAGTGGATGAGAACACTTTGACAAAGAGTTTTGTCAGTGTTAACACCATGATAAATGGGCTTTGTCCCTGCACACCCATAAAAATGCCTCCTTAGTACCTTTCTGGCCTGGGAAATCTTCCCTAATCTCTCTGTGGCTTTACTTTACCTCCTGTATTGATCAGGTCAGTTGTTTGGTTTTTTTTACTGGGGACTAGACAGGAGGACAAGTAATCCTAGAGCTTCCCATTGCCTTTGGATGCTTCCATTTTTTTCAGAGTGGTAATTATTTGGTCCGGAGGGAGAGGGCAAAGGGTAAAGCCATATGATATTTGACAATACTGACATCATGAACCTGAATTATTACAAAATGATTATCTTATGAGTAAAACATTCAGCTGAGGTTTTCCCTCAAAGGATCATTTGTCCTACTTGTAGAATCATCCTTCTAGGGCTGATATTCAGATACTGTTTTCCCTTTCTTTAGAGTAATTTTCAAGTCACGTTTAGAGCTGCAAAAGTGGCCACAATTTCCTCAGTATTAACCCCTTGAAGCCTTTTTATGTGACCATTATGACCATCTTTCCTGGTTCAGAAGGACCTGGCAGCACTTGCAATGAAGCCCATCAGTGGTACTTTATGTGGACATGAGCCTGTGTTGAGTTACAGGAGGTGATACTTCACCCTCACTGCAACAGATGAGTGCTTTGTCTCCATGGTTTCCCCAGTGATAACCAAGATATTGAAGGTACGTGTCCCACCCACGCTCCAGGTGTGATTAAAATGGGCTCAGCCTAAACATAAATCCTGATTATAGGAAGGTTTTCATTCATTCTCCAGCACGTCCCATGGGAGCCAGGTGTCTCCTGTAACTTTGGTCAAACATAAGCATGCATTCAAAATTTGCCTTCCGTAATTCTGAGTTCTATCAAAGTTCCTTCAACATCACTTCAAGCAATAGGCGTCCACCATATTTTTCTCCAAGGGGCAGGAGTTTCTTTCCACTGGTGACTGAATGCTATGTTTGGTCTTTCTCCTGGACTTCCTGAAACCGTTTCTCCAAGCGATCCAGTTTGGCCAGATTCTCTTTCAGCAACTTGCTGTTTGGAACCAGCTGTAAGGCCTTCTCATAGTAGCCACGGGCAGTGATGTAGCTTCCCTACAGAGAAAATGAGTGACAGATCTCATTTGCATTCCCTGACATAGAAAGTGCATTCTTTGGGAATGGTGAAGATGATAATACAAAGGAAAAACAGTTTATAAACCTTGATATTGTTAGGTAATAGGAATGTTTCCGCATTATGAGATGGATCACCGAGTGCCATTAGCCTAAATTTGATCAAATACACATGGCAAGAAGTAGATTTAGATTTTTCTGTTATGTTGTACCAGAAGAGTTAATTTTACTCAGTGATAGGATAGCTCGAGGATAGCACACAATGTGACTCTTTTAAGACCCAAATTATAATGATATGCTAAAGTATTCAAAAAGATAAGCAAACACAGGGTGGGCTGTCTATTTTCCATAATTTCATGCTAGTATTCTGCACTAGACATCTTTATTCAATTAATTATGCAGAGAAGAATCTTAAAAGTCAACTCACGGTGACATTTTTTAAGGTAGGTCAACGACTGAAGATGGAAAACTTTAGAGATGGGCAGGTTGCTCCTTGCAGCCTGCCCTCTTACAACTATGGGATTGGCATTACGGGATATATATTCCTGAGCAACCTGATTGGGAAATACTAGTTGAGATGGACAGACCTTCCTCCTCTTTGGATAAATATGTCAGGAACACTCAACTGTTCACAAACGTGCAGCTCTTGGCACAAAGAGCTTGAAACAAATTTAGCTTTCAGCCCTAGGTAGTAGTTTCTGCAGTTGATAGCTGAAGGAAAAGCAAGGCTGCCATTACCTTGATGTGCTCGATGCCTCCCATATTCATCCAGGCCTGCGCTTGGTCTGGGTTGAGCTCCACAGCGCGTTTATAGCTCTACATAAATACAAAACATTTTTAGGTCAAGAGTCTTAGTCTTCATACAAAAGCACTGCTGGTTGGGCAGGAGAAACTGTTTCCTCTCCCCTTGAATTCGCTTCAAAAATAATTCCAAATTCTTCTCATATACAATTCACAAACTGAATTTCAGTTTCTTTTCAGCACAGGCAGCGTAATATATTGCTTCACTGCTGATCTCATCTCGCAGGTCTTCCCTGCTCACGGTGCCACCACAAGGAGCCACACCAACCCCTGCGACCCTCTCCCTGCCACCCTGCCCCACTGGGGTCTCCTGCACATCAGGGTCATTTCCCTGGGCAGGTGCCTGCCACTCACAAGCCATGTGTGGCTGTCAAGCTCCTTATCTGCAAGGCTTTTGTCTGGAGCTGCTGCAGCCATGTGGAGGTTTTACAGGGACCTAAGGGCAGTCCTGTCTCTCCCCACTGCTTCTGCCACTGTGCATGGGTGAAGAAGCAAGGAGGACCTTCTAAACTCTGTTAAACAGCACTGTTTTCATGGGATCACAACAGGAAAAGATTTAAATCAGGATTAGTCACCTCCAGGGATATTGAGACTATTCAGAACTGTCCCAATAACAACATTCTGTGTGATTATTTAATGCTAGCCTAATTTCTGAGCTATCAAGCCTCCTGCTCCGCAGGATAAGCCAATCTCTCAGCTATCTGGTAATGAGGTGAGATATAACCATGTGGTTATATATAACAGCTTCTGGCTGAGCCACGTGGAGTTGGCCATCGCCAGCAAGAGGGGCTGGGTCTGGATGGACCAAGGGTCTGGTCAATGAGAAGATGCCTAGGTTCCTCCACAATCCGATGACAACTCTGTACTTAACCTCTCAGAGCAGGGAGCTGTATTTCCACACAGGAATGAGGAAAAAAGTTGCAGCTAAGTCTGGCAAAGGTAGCTGCCCCATAGCTTTAGCTGTACTGCTGAGCTCCCAAGGCCAACAGCCAGGGAGTATTAGATGCAATGAGCTGACTCTATCTTTTAACTTACAAAACTATCCGTAGGGCTTAGAGCAGTCGTACCTCGAAAGCCTTGTCAAGGAGATTCTGTTCTCTTAGCTGGTTTCCTTTTGTGAAAAAGAGCTCTGATATGACTTTTGGATCCTTTGGTTTTAGCTGAAGAGCTTTTTCTATAGCTTCAAGTGCCTGTGAAAGAGCAAGAGGACATTTTGGTACTGCATTCTGCGCCTTTCACTTCTCATGCTCTCCTCACAGCTAGGGCCTCCCAGCATAACAGTCAGCTTCCTCCTTCTCTTGCGTGTCCCACAGTGTTAACACATGTGGAAATGTATTTTTTAAATGCCTGTGGCTGATGGACAGTGGGTCTGACAGCAGAAGGAGCAGTAAGTGGTACGAAAATCACACTGCTCAGCTTCAGTCCCAGTACCTAGATAAACAGAAGGTTTTAGTGAAAAAATGAATCTACTAGATGTGCACTAAGGCATGTGACTTGTCTCTGGAAAGACAGAACATAAAATTCAAACTGAGCTCTGCGTGTGAGTCCTCGGGACAAGGGCACCCCATGGCCACGGTACCTTGGCATAGTGCTCCTGCTTGCTGTAGATGGCTGACAGAAGACGGTAGCACTCCAGACACTCTGCATCCTCGTTAAGTATATGGTTTGTCATCTTTTCAGCTTCCTTCGTCCGCCCCATCATTGCTAAAACCTGAGCCTACGGAGCCACATTATAAAGGGTTACGATCTTAAAAAGGTCAGCCCCTTTTTAATACACGACGCTGCACCCAGTGGCTGGTGCTGGGTTCCTGATTCTCCCAGTGGTGGTGTTGAGGCACTTCAAGGAAAGGTGGGAGGATTAAACCTTCCTAGCAAGTAAGGGCTTCAAGTCATGGCTTCAAGTTGCACCAGGGGAAGTTCAGGTTGGATATTAGGAAACATTTCTTTACTGAAAGGGTTGTCAGGCATTGGAATGGACTGCCCAGGGAGGTGGTGGAGTCACCATCCCTGGAGGTATTTAAGAAACGTGTAGACATGGCTCTTCAGGGCATGCTCTAGTGCCTGAGATTATTGGTTTGTGGTGGGATGTTGTGTGGGTGGGTGATGGTTTTGTTTGGTTGTTGTTGTTGTTGTTGTGTGTTTAGGTGGTGGGTGGTGTTTTTTGGGTTGTTTTGTTTGTTTGTTTGTTTGTTTTTTGGTGGTTTTTTTGTGGTTGGACTCGATGATCTCTGAGGTCCCTTCCAACCACTACGATTCTGTGATTCTGTGAAGGGGCAGGTCAGATCTCTTTGTCAAGTCCTACTCAGCTGGAAAGGCAGTGACTGAGACATGGGTCTGAGGTTGGGAGCAGTGAGGAGCAAACAAGGAGAACGGGAGAGCTGGTCGCTGGATGGCCAGTGTGGAGGTAGAACCAAGCTCTGGGCCTCGGGCAACACTGACACTAACACAGCCATCCCACTCCACTTTTGCAGCCCTGCCCTGGCCGAGCTCGCCCCACACTCACCAGCGCCAGTCGGATCTCTTTGTTTGAAGGCTGCAGTGATGCTGCTTCTCTGTAAACCTGCAAGGCTTCTTCGTATCGCCCCGTGTTGTAATACAGAGCCCCCAGCGGGGACAGGATTTCGGCCTTCCGGGATACCTTCAGTGCCCTGGGATTTGGGAAATTTGAGAGCACAAATTTAACATCCCAGGGACGCTGCATGCTCCCAGCAGCAATCCCTCTGGCCATCTGAGGAGAGAGGGCCAGCCCCAAAGACGTGGTGTTGGGGGACATGGTGTAGGGGAGGACTATGTAGAGTAGGGTAGATGGTTGGACTCAATGATCCCAAAGGTCTCTTCCAACTTAAATGATTCTATGAAAGCGCATGTGAGCACGCAGCAGGGGTGGCAATAGCTGACAGTGGCAGAGCCCAGGGAGTGTAAGCACAAATCAGGAGGCAAAAAAACCGCAGAGGGTCCACCCTGCTACATACTGGCAGTCAGGGCCTGCTTACTGGCATATTGCTGGAAAGGGTTTGGTCCTAGGCCACAAGGCAGTTATGGCTTCTACTGGTGCTAAGATCCTGCTCATGTCACCAAGAAACCTCTGGCTTTGTTGTTAGAGCGTCCCTCAGCCAAAGCAGCACTGTGTCCACCATGGGGGCTTGGGAAGTCAACACCACCTGAGTCCACGCTGCCTTTCCAGGCATTCCCCCAAAATAGCCAAACAAGCAGAAGTAAACCTGGTTTCGAAAAGATGGAGAAGGAATGGGGGAAAACCCAAACATGCACTGACAGATTCACATATCAAGAGGTGCTTTAGAGAGACAAGCTGTATGGGTGTAGGAGGGAAACCTCTGTCTCCCGTGCCAAATTCTTACCGCTTGTACCACACTTCAGCCTCTTTGTTCTGCCCCAGGGAGCGGTGAAGCCTGCCCAGGTTCACCATGGCCACGTGGTGAGCGGGGCTCAGGCGGATGGCCTGCCTGTAGTGGGACACGGCTCGCTCGGGAGCTCCTGGAGAAGAGAACAACCATTAAGCTGCTGCCTCAGAAAAATGCCACCGCAAATTCAGCACGCAGTAATGCTCTGGGTGTTCTTTTAGTTCTTGCTCTGTGTGGGGGGGACCATTTTGAGAAAGAAAACCTGCCGCGGCCTTTCTACAGGTTAAAAACTTGCTGTCTAAATTAGGATTTAAGCTCTAGTACCCCGAGATGATCCTAAGAAATAGATTCTTCTAGGGGTAGGTTTTTGCAAGTCGAGGGTACAGTCATCAGAAGAAGACTGCTAACTGAAAGCACCCTCCTGTCATGATGCAACATGTCCCCCCATGTTAAGGACAGAGCCCACCCCAGAGAGGGGTTTGCAGCACACATCCCACCATCCAGGAGAGCACCCTGCCACCCTGGCCCACTGGAGACAGGGAGAACAAGCCACCCAGTGCTCCCCACAACCCCAGCAGAGCTGCAAATATTTTCAGCTCTTCCAAAAACTGTTCCTTCCACCTCTGTTGCCCTGGCTCTGCTCAGCCTCCGTGCGTTGCTCAACAGGAATGAGAGAAGCTGCCCGTGACCAGCTAATTCCCACCTCCGGGCAGTAAATCCCAGAGCAGAGGTGTCCAGGAGCCGATTTTGGAGCAGGTGTAAGCACCATCTCTGTGTTGTGGAGGAGCCATTGGGTGGCACTGCTTCGCTGTGCGAAAACATCTACGGGCGAGAGGTCCCGCAGTCCATGACATCACCCAGCACCACAACAAAATACACCACCACGCAAAAAGAAAGGTGCCAGAACACCATCCCAAAAGCCTAAAGTTCTCTTTCTAACGGTATATTTTTATTTAGCTAAATAATGGCTTTCCTCAACAAGGACCTTGCAGTGCTTTCCTCAGGCAGGGCGCACTGACTACCCACTAAATAAATTAATGGGACGCAGTATAAAGTTCCAGCATTTCAGCAACGTGAATATTGGATTTTTAACCTCAGTGCTCATTTAATTGGTCTGCAAACTCTAGACCAGATAATCTCCTGATGAAAACCAATACTCATGGATCTTTGTCCACCAACCAAGCTTTGGAGTATTGGCATTTTTTAAGCCAAATCACTTCACAATGTATTTAATTAATTCCATTTCTAGTTGGAAAGCAGAACTTGAAAATAGCCTGTGCGTGTTGGGGCACCAAACATACTGCTGTGGGAATCTAATTTTCATAGCTTTTCAGATTTATTTTGGGTTTCCTGAGACTATCTATGCAACATAAAAGTAACACCAACACTTCTTGGTGTCTCCTTTCCAGGAGAGAGGAGGGACATCTGCAGGGAGATTTAGAAGCAAATAAGATTCATTCAGGGCCAACGACATATTTATCAGGGCAGGACTCTTTCAAAACATCCAGCAGAGGCCTCAATCTTCTCCCACCGCTAAGCAGGCAGATGCTTTTGCAAATCTTATCTACAAACCATCCTGGGAAGCAGCTGGGCACACACCTCAGCACGTAAGTCAGCCAGTGCCTCCCCTGCTCAACACACGGGGGTAATGGGCAGCGTTAAGGGAGACACACTGAGTGTCTGTGACCACTGCAGAGCTGTCGAGAGTAATGGCTCCCCAGAGCTGACACTTGCCGGAGGCTTGTTGCACCAAATCCTGCAAGTTAATTGGAGTGGTGCTTCACAGCATCTCCCCCTGCCCACCAGGGAAGAGCACAGCCGGTGACGGGCTCGCCACCAGCCACTTCCTTCGCAGCTTGTCACGTCTCCAGGAGGGTTATTTACACATCGTGCCCGGAGGATCGAAAGTCAGTGGGGTTTTCTTCCTGTTGTTTGTGTGAGGGAAGTGTAGGAGTAAACCAGGAAAAGTTAGTTTTGACTTTGGCAGAAAACACAAGTGCGAAAAATAGAAAGTGAACTGCACTGCGTTTGAATCACAATTTTTGGCAGGAATAGGACAGTTTATCTGGGTTGGGAAGCAAAGATGAGTACAATGTCAGAGTGAAATTACTGAGGAATTTTTACTATTTGCAAGCTAGAATTTTGCCAGGGCACAAAATCATGACCTCAACCTCTGTCGCTAATGACATGATGTCTTTTTTCATTGTGAATACTCATTTTGGCTTCATATTTATTTCACACTCGTACTATGTAAGAGTGATGGCTGAGCATCAGCTCAGAGGTAGGACAGCCAGCTGCAGACTGATGGACACCATCATCCAGGAACAGGCTGCCCAGGGAGGTTGTGGAGTCCCCTTCTTTGGAGATTTTCAAGACCCACCTGGATGCAGTCCTGAGAAACATGCTCTGACAAGCTTTAGGCAATCCTGCTTTAGCAGGGGAGTTGGACTAGATGATCTCTATGGTCCCTTCCAACTCTAAAATTCAGTGAAATTCAGTGAAATCCTTTCTTCCCAAGCACCACCAGAGCCGGGCTTGGTGTGAAAGGGGCAGAGTGGGCAGCAACCACACACTTTAAGCCTACAATATTTCATCACTGAGTCTCAGCTCTGCTCTGGAGGGACTGGAGTGTGACAGTAGTTTGGTTTCCACTAGCCATTTGTCAAACTCAACCTTGCTTACATAGCTGTCAATAAAAGGCAATGATTGCAGCAGCATTTTTTTTTGTTGTTATGTGGATGCCAGGAAGTGCCCGAGTCCAGAGAAGCTGGAACCAGAAGCCCAGAAAACAAAGGCTTTGGATGTCATTACAGAGCTCCTGAGAAATCAATTCACCCCACAATATCCTAGGTTTTGTTTTCACAGATGATTGAGGTTTAAAAGCCATGTTTGTTTTTACAGCGATGGCACTCAACTTCTACAGTCAAAGAGCTGCTTTGTCACCAAATAGGGCTGCAAGTGCTCCAAAGACCATGCTGATCCACTTGCGTGCCTGGGATTTGGTTTGATGTGGCCAAGCTTTCCTGGGGAAACGGCAGTATTGTCAGGGTGCTGCCCAGCTCAAATTGAAGAGGACAACTGCCTGTGCAAAGATGGTGAGGAACACTGAAGGAACCAGCTGGGCTGAATGCCACTGCTGCACAGTGCCTGCATTGATTACAGATTTCAGTGTGCTCTGCCATCTCAGCAGCGCGGGGATATTTCTTTCCAAGCTACAGTGGAGGCACATTATTCCTTTGGAAGCTTTTGACACCCTTTTTAGACATGTACTGGTGAATAAAACAAATCAAACCTAATAAGGCACAGAGGGGAAAATCCCTTGGTCCTTCTCACTTACCGGTATCAACCAAGAAAACACCGTAGTTGTTATGCAGATCAGAGCTCTCTGGACAATTCTCTATGCCAGCCTTATAGACCTCATCCGCTTCCTTAAGCCGTTCCTTAAAAGAGAAGGAGATTTCTTAGTCGTGGCAGAAATGCACCATTTGCTGCATACCTGCATTTTGTGACAAATCCCTCGCTGCATGGGGAGCTCGGGGTGCCAGCCCACCTCTGCCTTCTAAGCGCCCAAAATTTTAGACTCCGTGGCATGGATGTGATACAGCTGCTGTCTGGTACCCCAGAGCAATTCGGAGAGCTTTCCCCCATACATTCCCAATTGGGAGCTACCTGTGAAACAAAAATGACAGCTGGAAAAGGTGGCTTGTGTGCAACGTCAGCGAGCCCCAGCTGGGCATGCATTCAGCCGGGAAACGCAGAGTGATGGGGGTTGTGGTGGTTCTACTGAGAAGTATCTGTCATCTGGGAGCTGATATATTATAATTTATTTGTTTAATGAGCATCTCGCTGGCTAACTTTTCCCCTCCGGAGCTCTGCTGTTAGTTTCCTAAGCAGCAGGGAAAATACAAGGAACGAAAGCTTGGCGTGCGTGAGGGCTGGGGCACGGGGAGCTCATGTAGAGGGATGAGGGAATCTGGGGGAGGATGGGGGAAATGAAAGAGTGGGAAAAATCTGACAGATACGGATTAAAACCAGGCATTGTCAACATGTGAGATGAATCTCAGTGGGATTGACAGGACGTGCCACCACGCCGATTGCCAGATGCGCCAAGCCCTTACATTCAGCATAGATTTCAAGGAGGTTTGTTGGTGCTGAGCGTTTTTGGAAGATACAGATCTTTTCTTTGGGAACACCCTGCCTACAGAAGGTGTCCTACTATCTGGGCTCTGTCTAGCCTGAGCTATGAGCAGCCCAGTCCTGAAATGAAAATAAGGTGTCTCATTTGGATCAAACAGCAACTTAATAAGGTTTCCATCTCCCTCCAGCCAGGCAGTGCGTGCCCGCTGCCTGCATGCTTGCTAGCTTGGGTTATCACTGTCTTCCTTGCCCCCTAACCTCAGAGCCTTGCTGTCGGGTGTATTTATGGAAGGAGGCTGTGCACAGCAGAGACAAGCACGGCGCAGAGGGTGCCAGGCAAGCCTCCAGCACCAAAGATGCTTTTTCCAACTCTTCCCCTTCCATGAAGTGGCACAACCCTACAGCGAAAAACCCCATGGCCTCCTGATGATGCTTCCAAGTGAAATCATATGCCTGGGTCTTCGCCAAGGAACGCCTGGAGCCACCAAGGCAGATCTCCTTCTCAGGAGCTGAATCCACATTGAAATGAGAGGTGGGCTCATTCCCAGCTGTGGCCTCTCCTCTCTTCAAGTCCTGCAAATCCTGGAGCCTCCGGGGCTTTCTCTGGATTTAAAAGGTGCAATCGATGGCAGCTTTTGCTCTGTAGCTGCTTAAGCATGTGGACTCCTTTCTCACCTCCTATTTCAGAGCTGGAGAACTGGAATTAAATGCATTGGAAGACTATGACTTGATGAAAGCACAAGGTTTGTTGTGGTTAAGTGCTTTCACATTTACATGATAAAGGTCAGCCAGCAGAAAAGATAGTGTGTGATAAAACACAGAAACGCATTTTTAAAAAGTGCTTGAGTTTGGACATTTTGGATATATTTATGTGAATCTGACATCATTATCCTGCAGGGTCAGGAAAAGTGTAGCAATTGTCAGAACTGTCTAAAATGAAGAGTAATTTTTTGAGAAAGCATCTGTGTCACCGAAACATTAACAAGCATATGTGTAAAGCTTTCTGTATTAATTTCTTTTTCTCTGAGCTTAATTTTCAGCCAAGGAATGTGGCTTTGTGTGCATGTATGTCAGTTCTCTTCATTTTATTTACTGATCATAAACCTGATCTTTTAAGCAAGGAAGGGCCGTGTTAGCACATGGGATTAGCAGTGTCCCATGTCAAAACATTCACACTCACTGATACTGAGCAATTTTAGCATTTTTATCATGGTTGCACTGCCTTTTTGGCAGCTACCATCCTGACCCTGCATGCCTCAGGCTCAGCACAGAGTCTGGGATGATTTCTCTCACAAAGTGTTTGCATTAAGCATGGTCAGAAATTGGGAAGGGTGGGCCCAACTTTTTGTGCCAGAGCTTTCCCTGCCAGAGTTTTCTGCCTCACAGCCTCTCCTCTTCTTGGGAGAAATGCTGTAAGTTCATCAAGGCTCGATTCTCATTAACACTTAATAATGCCACTCCCAGACCTTCATGAAACATTCATCAACCTCACAGAATTCAGAAAATTGGCTTAAAAAATGTATGAGATTTTTATGATATTAAAAAAATTATGCATGTGAGAATCTCTCGGTTGAACTCCAGAGTTTTTAAGTTTGGGGTTTTTTTACAGCTCAGTTTTTCGGTCTGGTTATGCCTGAGTAGGTTCTCCTCTGCAGCTAAGCAGGTTAAAAAGTTTCTTCTTCTTAGTGCAGGCTGTTAGGCACATAAACACACAAAAATCACCTGAATCCAGAAACGAGGGCCTGAAGAGAGCCATCAAGTAGCACGAGATGGCTGAAGAAACTGCAAAAGCTGGGAAGAAGGTGCTGTTAAAGGGCATCAGGGCAAATCCTGGGGAAGCAGCACTACAGGAGTGGTGTGGGAATGGCAAACAAAAATGTTTGATTTCTGATATTAGCAGTGCTGCAGCAGTCATGGAAAACAAGGAAAACAAAAATACATTGTGACTGAGCTATGAGACCAAACAGAAAAAGCAGTAAGAAGGGCAAGCACAAACAAGCCAAACTTTTATACAATGTTGCAGTGCTTTCTTTCTTCAGAATCAACTATCAAGGAGAGAAAAGGGCAATTACATTGAGTTACAGGCTAATTGCCCGGCACATGAGACATTCTTCTCAGGAGCATTTTTTACAGCTGTGGGAGGAAAGGACTCCTAAGCTCTATTTCGGATTCATCACCTATAAGACAGGAGGATGGAACACACTATGTGGGACTGACCACGACAATCTCCACGCTGTTTCACTGAGCCACTTGCACATTTCCCTCCTTCTTAGCCTTAAAAGCTGGAGGAGCAGCAGCTTGCCATGGGCACAGTCACCTCATATGAGTCACTTTAATGTGCCACTTCTGGCACTTCAGCCCCTTTCTATCACATCCCAGCAAGAGGGAACCAGTTTGGGCTCCCTTCCCTAAAGCTCCACAGCGATGCTGTTCATGCAGATCACCGCATACTGCCTGGCATCACAGATACCCCAACAGCTGTGGGCCACAAGTAGACAGAAAAACAGGTTTGTAACTTTTAGGCATTTTGGAAACTATTGCTTGGCCAAAGAGGAAAACTCCGAAGTGAAAAACAGGGTCCTGTCATCATCTTTTGGGCTAAAGATGCCAAAATTACAGTGTGAGGGTGTGATTCTGCAGCTCACAGCCACAGGCAGCAGCATGTATTTGTAGTACAGGCCCCACCACGATCACTAGGATGGGTGTGAGAGGCAGGAGCTGCACGACCAGGTCATCATCTGCTGTGGCTGAACATGAGAAGGTGTTAAAAGCCTGCAGGAAATCACTGTTATCTGAGGAAATTGCACTAACTATCTATATTCCCTACCACTTACTCAAGTCACAAGAGGATGAACGATCTATACGTAAAAGTAGATGAATTATTGCTGGACTTACTAATGGCATTTGCTTTGGGCAGAATGCCTTGGGACTCTATAATGGTTTTATTTCTCTGTTGACCTTACAATCAATCGTTCTAATTAATAATTTCAATTAATATTAAAATAAGGTATTACTGCAGAGGACTCATTTCCTATACTTGCAGGAGATTCTTCATTGATGGGGTTATTCAAAACACAGTTCCCATTTAATAAGGTTCTTCTTTTAATTCATATGCTATATTTCTAGGTTCCTGCAGCTGATATTGATAATATTTAAATACTTGGAAGTTGCTTAAAGGGGAAAATAAAACAGCACACCTTTCAGTAACCCATATATATCATAGGTCAATTTTGCAGAGTGCCTACATCATTAAAGAAGCCTAAACCAGAGTAAGACCTTTGCTTATAGTTTTGCTGAAATTTATCAACTTCCCTTACGGACAGAAGATTTCCCTAACCAGATTAACAGAAAACAGTGAAAGATGATACCCTTTTGCTTTGTCTGTATTTGCATTTGGCAACCTTTTTAAGAAATCTTTAGCACCCTGTGCTATGGACCCTCCTCTGGACCTGCTCCATCAGGTCCATATCTTTCCTATATTGAGGGCTCCAGACCTGCCCACAATACTCCAAGTGAGGTCTCACCAGGGCAGAGTAAAGCGGAAGAATCACCTCTCTGGACCTGCTGGCAATGCATCTTTTGATGCAGCCCAGGATGTGACTGGCCTTCTGGGCTGCAACTGCACACTGCCTGCTCATGTCCAGCTTCTTGTCCACCAGCACTCCCAAGTTCCTTTCCTCAGGGCTGCTTTCCAATACCTCACTCCCTAGTCTGTACTGATGGCGAGGATTGTTCCCACCCAGGTGCAGAACCTTGCACTTGTTCTTGTTGAACCTCATGAGGTTCACCTGGGCCCATCTCTCCAGCCTGTCCAGGTCAAAAGTTTTGCAGAGGTGTCAAGAGGTTTTCAAAAGGTTTGCGGAGGTGTGCTGGAGCTGTGCAGTTATGAAGACCTCATCACCCACCCCTGCAGCCCCAGATTGGGGCCACTGGTTGTGGCTGCAGTCCGTGGGAGCAGTGCCCAAAGCACAGCATCCCTCATCTGCAGCTGCAGAGGTGGTGAAAAGCAGGGCTTGGTGCTCTTGACATGGGCACCCATGCTTTGTGACTTCTTGGGAACTCAAGCATGCTGTGCCTCAATTTCCCTCTTCCTCCATAGGGACAACATTTCACCTCACAGGAACCTTGTAGAAATAAATCACCTAACTACAGAGAGTAGGGAGAGCCCTGAGTAACGAGCACGGGGAACAAGCCCAAGAGGAAATGAGTAATCCTGCCTCCAGAGCGCAGCCTGAGCCATACGCAGTAAATAAGGCCTGGGGGCACATAGTGAACAATGAGGTTAAATAAAATATTGAACAGCTGCTCATTAAGAGCAACATAAAGCTAGCGAGCCTTCCCACCTCCTGTACGTGATCAGCTACCACGGTAATTAAGGGCCATATCCCGATGCGTGCATGCAGGGGGCAGAATTTGGGCTGCAGAGGCCACCTGGTTTCTGACATTTCCTAGCTTTGGAGTGATGTGCTATGAAACCTTGAGGTTATCTACGTAGGCGTGTGTGTCTGAGGGGGAAGTGCTCGCCTATTCTGCTGTCACAACACTCAAGGTGTGACGGATTGGGACTTCACCATAGACACGGGGAGCTGCAGAGGCGATATTTACTCACAACTTCGACAGCGATTTAATTCAGAGCCACGTCATATGTATGGGTGTAACTACTCACTGCGAACGAGTTGCCTCCTATCCTGAAAAAGTCATCCCTAGAGCAGCCCAACAGGTCTCTGCAGACAGCCGTGGACCCAGGCCTGTCACCACAAGTGTGTGAGGCGAGGATGCTCCATCGGGATGTGCGGGAGGTGTCACAGCGCAGACACACGTGCAGAAAGGCACGAGAGTTGAAGAGGTGCCCGTTACCTGTTCAGCTAGCAGCGAGGCCAGGCTGGAGTAAGCATCTGCAAACTCTGGACCATACTTAATGGAGTCCCGCAGTAAGATCACAGCTTCCTCCTTCTTCCCTTGGGACCTGCAGGACAGGGGAGGCGGGGAAAAAAGAAAGAAATGTTCCTGTAAGTGCACGTTGAGGTCATCCCACTGATTAACTACTTTAAAGAGATGTAAAAGTCCCCAGCTTGACCTTTTCAACAAAGACTAAATGATTCACTAGTGCCTCCTCTCCACAGTGTGCATACCCAGCGTCTCCTCGGCCCATCGCTGTTTCCATATGTTGTTCTCAGGACTCGGGAGGACATAAGTCTTAATGAATCTGCCGTTTGCTCAGCTATTGAGGCGATTGTCATACTGAGCGCTACACAATGATTCCAGTGAAGACAAAACACCCCCAAAACAGTGCATTTCTCAACCCCACACATTGAAGAGCAAAGAAGTATTTTATTTTGGCTATAAGGCAAGCAGAGCAGGTCACATGCTCTATCTGTTGAGTTGTAACCACTAGATTTTGTAAACTTCTCCAGTCCTACTGTACATCTCCTCTCAATATTTCTCTTTATGGCAAATACATCAAATCCTGCCCCATTCATTCCACCAGGAGTTAAAAGATACATGAAGGACAAGATAGCAAAAGTGTCCCTAGGCATGAACTACTGCACAAGACCTTCTGAGTGATGTCCTTGGGAAGTCATGTGCCCTACGGGATGGGATGTTCCCAGGGTAACACTGGGTTTGCAGTGAGCATCTGGATGTCTGGCCCCAGTCATGTCTCTGAGGCACGGACTGACCTGGGAGCAGGACATTTGATCTCACCAACCCTGCTCTCACATCAGTAGGGTGGAGACACTAAACCATTTGCATTTCCTTAAAAATACCCACAGAGTCTTTGCATGTTCCTAGATGAGTGCTGTTATAGATCCACTTACAACTCAGTTAAATTAATACTTTGAAATTAAAATATTGCTAAGTTAAATCTGCCTGGGATCTCTAAATAATTCTTTAGCAAGTCGATCATTAGGCTAGAGGAGTCTGTTCTTGAGATCCTAAGGGTTATGAATAGAGATAGCTGAGAGACGGCTATGCTGATGAGCTAGGCTTTTTCCACCATTGCTCTGCATTTATTGCCATGGAAAACAGAAAAGGTTTCCTGAACAAAATTCTAAGGATGTTTATTTATTTGAGCTACAATTTCTCCAATATCGCTCTGTATTGCTTTCCTTGGAAAATGAGAAGGCTTCCTGAACAAACATCTAAGGATGTTTAGCTGGACTGGAACAACATTTTCCTTGTGTTGCCTGTACAAAGAATACGAATAGCAGGGCTTACAAAAAGAAACAAAGGCCTCTGGGACACAGAAAAATATGTGAACACCTTGGTGCTTTGGCCTCAGATTTCTTCTGAGTGACATGGTCAAGTAACCAGATCTTGTTTATAAGGTGCAAATTTCAGCTGATAATATATGTGGCTTTGCAGATTTTTTCTCTTTCTAGATGTGTAACTGGAAGAATATTTTGCCTGTGCATTAAGCTAAGTAAAACCAGTTGTGCTAGTCTTTTTCTTCTTCCAGTGCTATTCCATATAAATTACACGAATGAAGCAAAAACAAATAAAGAACCACTTTTCTCCTACACTAATTAAAGACTAGCCAGCTTGTCGATTTATAAAACTTTTGGAATCCTTGGCTGGAGTTCCATGACACATTTTTATAAATCAAAAACAGATGACTGCTTTATAAAGGTATTGATGTTTGGCAAAAAAAATGTAGGAAATGCCAGCTACAGAAATAAAAGGATTAAGTGATCCACTCAGCAGCAGTAAAAGTTCCCATTAACCACAAGCATGCACTCTGAACATGGGGCAGTCCTCTTAATTACTTTTTTTTTCAAAATGGCCTTTTTTTTTCCCCTTTTGATCCAAGAACAATGTTTGTCTCCTGAAAGTGGGTGTAGAGAGCGAAAGATTATGGCGTCTTTTTATGTGACAGGCTGAATTACAGTAAAAAAAGCAGATCCAGTAGTTTCTCTGAGGGCTCAGGCCTGCAAGATACCAAGTTCTCTGGCCAAGCACTTAAACGCGTACTTAACTTTTATGTATGCAAGTTGAAAATTAATTACTGGCTGAAGTGCTTTCCTGGATCAAGGCCAACGCTTTGCAAGATCGAGGCCGTCGCTTGTATAAATTTCCTGCAATTTGGGAGAGTGCAAGAGCATTGGAAGAACAGTCCGATACACTAATTTACCATAAACTGGGGATCTGGTGCAGAAAAAGCTAGGTAATGTATACCTTCAGACAGAGAGAGGAACAAATTCAACTGACACAAGGAGTCTATGATCACTTAATCCAATTTTTCCCCAAATTACCTTGCCTTACAATGCCCTCTCCTGACTCCCTCTTCCACTCGAGCTCCCAGCCTCCCCTCTACAACCAGCATGCTCGAGCTGAGAGCAAGAAACAGCTCTTTCCACAGGGAGCAACTCTTCTATATTTTCACAAGTGCCCCGCAGTTGGAGAAGCATCAGCTTCCAACACCCCACAGAAGTCTGGTGATGCACAAGGCTGCGTGTGGGCTGTTAGCACTGGAGCAAATTTCATTTACAAGAGAAAGAGGAACCCAGGAATTAGTGCTCTAGAGGACTTTTGAACTTTCAAGATCTATTTTACTTTGTGAAGGTAGTTTGGCTGCATTAAAGCCAGAAACATAGAACTCCACCAGGGCTCCACAGCTGCTCTGAACATCTCGTCTTGGTTTCACACCATAATCCAAGGGGAGCTTGCACTGTCTAATTCTGCCTGTCTGAAAGGAAGCCTCTAAGCCTGTTCAACTCCCTGGTTTAAAACTAATTCAGATAATTTAGATCCACTCCTTTGCCATTTATCTATACTATGTGGATGACACCGAAGTGGGGGAGCAGACAATACACTGCAAGGCAGGGCTGCTTTTCAGAGGCACCAGGTCTGAAGGGAGCCTCATGAAGTTCAACAAAAGCAAATGCAAGTCCCGTGCTCAGAGTGGAACAACCCTGTGCACAAGCACAGGTTTGGGGACAACTGGGGTCCTGGTGGACAACAAGTTGTCCAGCAATGTACCCTACATGGCAAAGAAGGCCAGTGGGTCCAGGGAAGTGATCCTTCTCCTTTATACGATACTTGTGAGACCACATCTGGAGCAATGTCTGTCCAGAGTCGGGCTCTCCAGTGCAAGAAAGGCATGGATTTAGTGGAGGAAGCCCAACAGAGGGCCACTAAAGGAGGTCAGGGCTAGAGCACCCGTTGCATTGAGGAGAAGCTGAGTGAGCTCTGTCTGTGCAGCCCAGGAAGAGAAGGCTCAGGGGTGACTCCAGTGCTGCCTCCAACTACCAGGTCAGAGAATACAGAGAAGCCAGAGCCAAACTCTTCTCAGAGGTGCATGGTGACAGGACAAGAGGCAACAGACACAAGGAGGAACACAGGACATTCTGATTAGATATAAGAAGAAGTATTTTTCACCATGAGGGTGGTCAAACACTGGAACAGGCTGCACAGAGAGATTGTGGCATTTCTGTCCTTGGAGGTGCTCAAGACTCAGCTGGACACAGCCCTGAGCATCCTGATCCAATTAAACTTGCTCAGAGCTGCAGGCTCAGCCTAATGGTCTCCAGAGGTCTGTTCCAATCTGTTAGTTTTTTAATCTGCTGTAAATTTGACACTGCCAGGGGTTGGGTTGTTGGTGGGGTTTTTTTTGTAAACAGGCTACAATGTGTATGTGACACTGACAAATAACTGTACAACGCAGAGTACCCTAATCAGAGACCATCCAGAAAGCCAGATGCAGTTATCACTGAACATTATCACTCAGTTTGCTGCTTTGAATGGAAGGGAGGAATGTTTCACTCTCTGAAAGATCTTAAATCTCAATACACCCAATATCTCGTGTTTTCCACCATCCTCAGACAGTTACACAAGCCTGTGTCAGCACACTCACATACACACAGACCCAGAAGCCTGTATCAGAGAGGGCAGACGGTCCTCTTTCCTCTGAATAGATGGGTTTGCTAAACTGGGAATAAATACTGGCAAAAAACACACAAGTCACCTTGTGTGTTACTCTGGATTCAGAAGAGAATCAGTCCTTTGAGTAAACTCAAGATTTGAGTGGACAGTGTTCCTGGGCATTTCACCTTCCCCTTGAAAATGCAGCCATAACACTCTCAAAGCATGTAAGAGTTATGAGGCTTTTCCCCACAAGAAATAGCGTACTGAATACTGGAGTGCTTTAGGTACCACAAATAAGTTCTCTCCCATTCTTCCTGCAACAGAAAGCTGAGATAAATATTCACTTCAAATGTTCATAATATTTTATTTCTTGTCTCTTTACAGAATATCCCACAGGCTATAAATTTGTGAGGTATTCTGAATGATATTTACCTCAGTTTTTCAAGCTGTATCTCAACAAAACTAAATCTCTATAGAGGAGTGAAATATTTATATAATGGGAAACTTCAAAATAAAACACAAGAAAGCAGTATCAGACTGCTCTGTGTCACTGATCATGGACCACGAAAGCAGAGAAAGAGATTTCTCACTTTTAGGTAAGCCATCTTTTGGGTCTACTTTAACTGAGAAATCTGTTGGCGTTGTTTAATTATCTACTCTCCAATATTTGTATTAGGCAAGAAAATGATGACATACAACATTATTTTAGGGTATGTATACAAAACCAGAGGCTTATTCAGCCATTATCCTGCAATGCTTCCTGACAACATTCATCTTCTGGCACATAGCTGTCTTCATTATGTACCAACAGAAAATGGAAACATCTTTTTTCATCTAGGACTTCCACAGACAAAAAAAACTTGAGAATTCCACCCTGTGGTCCTCAAACCAGATTTTTACTCAAGCTTAAATCACAAGCAATGGATGCTTAAATAGAGAGCTTATTTACAGGGAATAACGAGAGGCAGATTCCCACATGGGAACAGCAAACCCTTCCTTCCAAAATCTTGGGAGTTCCCCTTTCTCAGTGCTCCAGAGGAGGCGAAATCTAATATCCGCCATCAGATTTCCACACTGTGAGCAGGGGTGGGTACAAGGAACTCAGCAGAGTTCAGCTGGGAATTCCCCATGCCAGACAGCTTCACTACGTGCTTCAGTACAAGTAGTGCTGTTACTGGACATGCCTAAAATGTCGCAGATCTGGCTCCTCCTGATCTGCCCCACGCACTCAAGCCTCTGCAAATTGGACAGAAAATGCTTTTATGGCTTGACCATTTATCCTCTCTCTGCCATATGTTTAAAAATCAAAACACTCTTCATAATGTGTCATAGTACAGCCAGAAAGTATTATCTGCCTGTAATATTCTGCAGATTTTCCTTTATTGCCTAGATTATACTAGCATTGAGTGTCTGCAGAATACTAGTTGCCCTATATACATATATATGAAAGGATAATTTGGAGAGCCAGGTAGAAAACATAAATAAAGACAAAGCTGTAGGAAGGGGAAACTTGAAATCCCTGCCTCGTTCCTGCCTGGTCATCTCACAAGTCACCTCATGCACCAGCATGGCTGGTGATCCCTGCTAAATTGGTGGATGATCCAGGAAAGGTCCTGGCCAAGGGATTTGGGTTAGTGTATTAGGGGAGACATTCATATAGGATCTGCCTGCACAGCATCTGCTTCTCGTATTTGTTAATCCCTCCACCATGAACTATATCTATTTTTCAGCAGGTCTTTTAGAGCTGAATAGGGAGATGCGGACACAGAGTTTCCATTATAACTAATACTATTTGTGTGACCAGATGCACTAGTTTGTTTTGGAAGCATAAAAAACAAGTCTAGAAACTAGGAGCAAATGGGTGTGGGAAAGGGGCAGGTGGAACCTGAGTGCTTTCTTTTAACAAGTTTAGCACAAGCACCACTCACCTTTAAGATACTGCAATATATGGCACCACAGAAGGACGCAGGGCACATACAGTCCAACAGGACACACAGTACCTTAACTATCACATTAGGAAAACCATGACAGGTACACAAAACAAACAGCAGCTCTAAGGGATTTTCCCACATGCCTCCTTTGTGCTTTGCCAGTGCAACAAATCCAGTTTCTACCCAACTTGCTGGGTTATAAGAGCCCATCAACAGGCCAGATTTAGGTGTTATTGACACGGGATGTCCTGGTGCTGCTTCTGGCCTATGTCCTTTTGTATTAATATTTTATGTTTAAAAAAAAAAAAAATCACAGAGAATAATAACAAAGGCAAACATGATAGATTAAAAGGACAATATGTATTTTTAAACAGCATTGCCACCTAAGATTAATTTCAATCAACCAAATCTGATGAATAATACAAAGACCTTCCATTTCTCTGGTAGTAAGACTGTCTTTATCATTTTCCTCTCTTGTGAGTATTTCCAGTAAAGCATTCACTTACTTGCTATTTAAGAATTACTCAGCTGCCATATTCTAACCCCAAACCATCAGGTTTACTTGTAGCATTATTCTGATAACTTCTCCATTCAAGCAGAACTTCAGCAATAGACTTAATATCTGTCATATAAACTCACACTCAAAGTAAAATTTTAGAACCAGAGAGATCAGGTATGTTTTGATCAGACAGTGCCACTTTAAAACACAGCCCAACACTAAAGTGTGATTTACTCCAGAAGATTTACCAGAAGCCTATTTCCAGCAAAAGACGTGCAGTTTATATCAGCAAAAAAGTACTTTTACTGCTGTAGTTTATGCAGTTCTGTCAGCAAATAACATGCTATCCTCAAAAACAAGGAGGTTTTTGCAGGAATTGAGATTGTTTTTTTTAATTGCACTCTTAGCAGATCATGTCATACAGGGGAAGCTTCTTGTGTAGATTTAAGTTCAGTCTTTAGATATGGTTAGTCAAATTAATTTGCATTATTATGATCATCTACTATTCTCCTTGCTAAAGGCTGACACTAAATAACAATGAACGAAATTATGAGCTGATTAACTTGTTTTCTTGCTCAGCAAAGTAACCCTTTAGGGATGTAAACCAGCTTTCCTCTCAAATCCAGAGCCACCCCCTTTGCAATGGGACGAACCTTCTGCTGCTCTGAGAATCTCAGAGTTAGGTCCTTATGCCTAAACTACGCATTGACCTTCCAAAACAGCTAATGAAGACAATCGGGAACTTGCAGAGGGAGATTTGCTGGGTCTGTGTTATTTATCAGATCTGTATCAGATGCCTGTCTTTGAACAACACGACTTGCTCCATTGAAAAGGCTTACGCCTCTCCCTTGAGATGGGAGTCTCTGGTGACTAGTAGAGTTTAGGGACCTCATGTTTTGATGCCTGTTTTGGATCAAGTGACTTCCCTCCAGCTGAAACACAATCGTAAACAGCACTTGAAGCGACATGGCAGACAGCATTAGGATATCCAAACTAAGCCTCAACTTTGTGCCATACTCTTGGCTGGCAGTAAGAAATAATGTCATTCCTTCACCAGCTGGCAGAAAAACCTACTTTGGTGATGTGTGTAGAGAGAATGTGAATTTCCTTGGTGCCAGTTCTGCACTCAACTTACTTGAGCAGGTTGCCGAGATTGAAGAGAGCTCGATTGTGCTGAGGGTTTAACTGAAGGGCCCGTCTGTAGTAGTCCTTTGCCTCCACCACATCTTTGGTCAATGTCCCCAGGTTGTTGAGAGCACTTGCATGACGAGGGTACAGTCTAGGAAAAATGAAGTATCAAGTCACAAACACTTATTAATTGACAAATAAAGCTGAAGTCACTAATGCTGCCACCACTGCTGGTCGGCACTCTGTAAAGTGAAGGATGCCAACTAGGAAATACTGTTTTCCCTTCTTTTGCTGCAGGTCCTGATGGGATCCTGAGGAACCTTTTCATCCCCCAAAGAGATTGCAAATCAGATCTTCTCCTACAGTTCCTGTATGCCTCCAAGGCAAAAGGGAACACTCAACAGCTTTGAAAGCCTATTTTACCCTCCAAGCAAAAGGCAAAGTGACTAAAGCAGCTTGAACGTCTTTCTTCAAAATGTTTTTCAAACAAGCGAGAACTGCTTTGTCAAAAATACATTTCCAATGGAAATGTTTTGACATACACAGAAACAAACACAACACTGTTTAAATTGTTCTGTTTTGTCTTTTTTAAAATCAGTTTTCCACAACAAGAGTGATAATAAAGTGCACAAGAAAACCTGAAGAATGTTTGAAGCTGTTGAACAATGTCTTCAGGACCAAGTAAAATGACAAAAAAAATCTGGAAACAGACTGCTTAACAGTATGAATTCCCTAAGCTTCTAATTGTATTTTTTAGCACTTGGTTCCGTTCTCCTTTTAACTGATCTGTTGATCTTTACATCTACCTGTTTCAGTAATAACACTACAAATTGGGCCCAGTGCATTTTTGTCAAAAACCTCCATGAATTAAGAAGCACGTGGTGGTCCACTTGGCTGCTTAAATGCTCAAAGCTGTGCCCCTGCATTGATATTTTCGTTTGTAGGTCTTTCACCAGAAAACACCAGAAGTGAAAGTGATCCCAGGCAAAATTTAGCACCCAGAACCCTCTGTGTCACAGATGGGTGAAAAACTGAGGCTCGTTATGACAAAGAAACAGACCTAGGAGAGCAGCCCACAGAGGTCCGAGGCAGGCTGGGAGACCAGCTGTGTGAGTACCTCTGATGCTCTGGTGTGAAATGGTACAGAGGTGTTTGCCCACTGAACTCCTCCAGACGATCATTTCATTAATGATAGGGAGGAAGCAGGTTAAGATGGTCAAGGCTTCGTTTCGAGATCTAGCTGCAAATCCTGCTGCCACCACAGATTTTCTGTTTCAGACCAGGACAAGCCATCTGACATTTCTTTGCCTTAGGTCCCTGTTCATGGGAAAGTGATGCGGATAAAAAGTAGTTGGCTATGATAGCCCAGGGTACAGCATGAGGAGGGGCATTTAAAGGCAGAAGAAGGGATTAAGAGTCTATAATACAGTCTGACTCTAAAGTTTGCAACTGGTTTTAATCTAAGACTTTCCACGGTGGTTTTTTTTTGGTTTGGTTTTTTTTTTTTGCCTGGAGTTTTTCATTATGTCAGTCCAGCCCTGGGATTTTCTGTGCTTAAGTACCATGAATAATTTAGCATTTTATACACTGCTGCAACATTTGTATCAGTCACATTTTCGCTCCACCACACATAAGTGATTTTGGCAGGGTCTTACTTGGGGGTGAAGTTGGGAACACAGGAGGGAACTCCGGGAGAAGTGGACATGCACCAGTAACAACTGCGGGATGCTTCCTACAACTAAGTAAGAGAAGGGCCTCAAAATCCTTTTTCTACCCAACACCAAACCTAGCAGACAATGACTGCAAAGCCACACAGTCAAGGAAAGAGTGTTCAAGGCTGCAGTCACACATGTTTTTTAAAAACTTCACCTATTCTACTGATAATGAAAAGATAAATGTAACAACCACCACTCACAGTAACTAACGACTGCAGACTCTGTCAACAACCCTCGTGTATAGATAAGCACCCCATCTCTCAGTGATAACCACTTCTCCTGCTGCAAGCTCTCAGGTGCAGTTCATGTGTCTCAAGTGTCTGCACTGCCCAGTGTCCCTTCAGCCACACTAGTCTGCACTCCCCACTCCATTGATTTCTGAAGAGTTCCCTAATTGATCTTGTCACAGAGGAGCAAAGAGTAGGAAATCCGAGGCTAGACTGCAGTTGGTACAGAAACAGCATCACTTTCCATCACTGAAGCTACCCAGTGAGCCTGCACGTTTCGGTATAGGAGAGGCTGTCTCTGCTGGGAGAAGCCATCAGCAAAGGACGAGACAGTGATGAGGATATGGTGTTCAGTCTTGACCTTGGCATCCTAAAATCCACTGGTCATCAAGGCTAAGCTTTCCCATCTGAAAACAGGCTGGAAGAAATGCTTTCCACAGCAACAGCAGGGGAGCAATGTCAAAGCCCAAGCTTGCTTGCTCCTGGGAAGCAGCTCTGTGTCATGCCTTGACCAGGATATCTTAAGTGAAGAATGTCCTATCTACCTTAGGGCAAATGAGAGAGGGCTCAGCCTTGTTTCTCACTTCTTCCATGGGCTTTTGACACTGTTTTGGACCAAAAAAACGTTTGGGAGTTTTATTTTTGAGGCGTTTTTTTCCACTTGGCTGTGATAAAAGCCATGCACTACTTCTGTCAGTACTCACACGTAAAAACAGCTCTAACATCTGACATGAAGTCGCCAGAGTTACGAGTGGGCAAAAGTATTTCAGACAATTCTCCGGGAAAGTCAGAAACAGATTAACATTTTACAGCCCTAAACCTGATGGTTTTGCTCTCAAACTTTCAGAAATTAATTCTGTTCTTGGCCTATAGTGCTCCCATGACATTTTAGGCCCGGGAGATTTGCTTGCACCAATTTGCAGAGGAATGAAAACACAAGATTAAAAAAGAGAACTGATTTCACCTTTAAATTGCACAGTTCTGACCAGCAGCACCATAAATATACTTCTAGGCTCAGCGCTAAAACCCATCACAGGATGCAAGTACATCTCCCATGTATCCTGGGCTCTTATTTCTTGTGTTTTACATTTTTTCATTACATCTCATTGCCCTTTCCAAAAAATGGAAGTGAAAAACCAGAACCTCAGCTAGCACAAATTGTCAGCTTAAACCCACTTCGCATCTGGCCTGAAGAACTTCCAACATTTGCAATTTTACATATCTGAACAAACGTTAAGAGAAAAATCTGAGCACAGTGCGATAAGGCAATGTTGTTGAGCTTTGCCATTAGGGTTCAGTTCTTCATGCTTTTGTTTGGAATATTACTTCATTACAGCAGTCGAGCAAGACGCCACTCAACTGAGTTCTGCCCAGAGCATAACCAAGCCCTAAGAGAACATCACCTCTAATAAAGTAACGAGAACCACAGCCTGAGCCTATGACCATGCACACTGCTATATGTTGTTAACATGATCCCTAACCAACACCATGCTCATATTGTTCCCAGGAGTGGTCCAGGGCTGAGCCCAGACCAGGGTCTGGTCCCAAAAACCCCTTGGGCTCAGCCACTGTCTCTCAGAGGACACAAGCACTTACTGAATGCTTGCAGGTCTATTTATACCAGTTGGCCTCAGGGGTAAAGAATGGGGGCAAGGCCCTTTTTTATTTTTAATATGGTGATGACTAACGGCCTTACTCAAACTACCCTCTGTTCATCCATACCCACTGCTGTTAATAACAACTTCCTGGGGATAAAACCAGAGTAGAACAAAGTCTGGTGGCTGGATTTACAGACCGTCATAAAACTTGACCACAGGTGACTAATTAAAGCAACATTTACTGAAGAACTCTCAAGATGTTCCTGCAAAACTTGCAAATACGCCATTTGCAAACCGGTTTGCTTTTTGCTGTATGTGATCTATTATTTTAATGAATGGTGACACACGTACATTTTTTTCCGTTATTATATTATCAGGAGATTTGTACTGGTTTTCAATACTTTTGGAATTGGTCCCAATGATTCCCAATGCCTACTTTGCCTATTTGGACCGTAAGCTCTCTGATGCAAAGGTTGTCTCTTCCCCACATGTATTTATTTCTTGGAAGGGTCAGAAATCCATTGCCAAGACAAGGAGGTCTCCAGTTAACCTGGAGTCTCTTCCTGCCACTATAACGATAATACTCAGAACCCAGACCTTGTTTTACAAATAGCTGGGACACTCTGAGACACAAAGAATCAGTTGCTGGAACGTATATACCTCGGGTTTGCAACTTCTCTTAAGAAACAAAGCTTTCTATCTGGACACACACGGAGCTGTATTTTCCATGCCACCGCCATTGATAATGGTAACAGTCTGCAGGCAATATCCTTCTTGCTATGCATCTGATTAGGTAGAAATTCCTCTAGGCTTCACCTAATCAAATGCAAGTGCTGCATTATTTATGAAAGAAAGCTGAATTTCATTAAACTTATTCTACAAGAAGCAGTTCATGTGAAAAAAAAAAAAAAACAGTTTCTCCTTTCTTTTAGAAATCAGAATAATTTTCTCTAAAAACCCACATTCACAGGTAATTATAATAGAAGTCTTGAAATGGCAAAATTACTTTATAAAAAAAAAAAAAAAGGGAAACCAACCCATAAAAGTATGTTTTAAATCAGACTGGGATTTCATTTCTAAAGAGAAGACAAGTGGGATGTTTCCTTGTTGCAGAATGAATAATTCAAATGATTCCTCCGGTGCTGTATCTGCAATTGTCAGAATAAATTTAAGCAGCTTTCCCTTTAACTATTACAGGTATACACTGCACAAGAACTCCTGTTAGTAATTATCCCCCCTTCTTTTAGGCTAGCAAAATTCCCTCTAATACCACTGAACAAAAGCCTTATTGACTCGCACAGTCAAGAGATTTCCAGTTTCACAAGAAGATACCAGGCATAAAACATGTACAGTCCTCAAAACGCTGATGACCATTTATTTTGCTTTTTAATTTAATGCTATTACCTGAAATATTAGGTTTTAAAAAACAAAAAAAAATGAGGGGTTTTGTCTGGCAACATATCTGAACCACAAGACAATTCCAGAAAAAAGAAAAAGGGAGGGAATTTGTTGTCATGGCTACAACCTATAATCCAGCAAGAATTTTAATTCTTTTAATTCAGATAGAGAGAGACCACTTAAACAACTGGCGAGCTCCGCTGGCAGCCCTGC